ATAAAACCCTTTACGGATTTTTTTAAAAATTTGCAGAACACCGAATGGCGTGTCTGTTGTTTGAGTACTTGATGCTTCCCTTAATTTTTTAGACAAATCAAAATCGGCAAGTTTTATGTTTCCGTGACGGGTAAGTATGTCTCCCGGACGCTGAAAATAAATAAATAAATGTAAAGAAAAAATGCAATGAAGATTAATTTTAATAATCGATGCTTATTATTATATCAATATAAACTTGAATCCGAGTTACCAAATCCGTTTGAATAATGTCTTTTTCGTGTAAATACATAATCGCACTCAGTCGTAATTTGTCATTCAAATTTAATAACTTAAAGAAAGTTCTCCAAGATATTGCTCGCGAAGCCCCTCTCATCATAATTATCACCATAAGTATTATGGATTTGCTTAGTTAAAATGATCTATCAATATAATTTTTTATATCTACACATACTACTCTCTTAAAGAAATCCCATAAAGTCGTAAAACGTTAACATTAAAGTCCAAAAAACACTTTGCTACAATATAAGCTACGCAAATAAGTATGACCGCTACCGTTTTCTAAGCTTATGAGATATTGTATATCAAAATGTTCTTAATGTTAGTCCGTTTTACAGACCCTACAAGTTCTTCTTCAACTTTACCATTTTTTAATTGCGAATTTTCTGATAAAAGAAGACTCGCAATCTAAAAGGCGTAATTTTGTATGACCGAAAATATTTGTAGTATGCATATGTTGCACAGAGTTCACAAGGTTATTATTGGGTGTTGCAATTGTTGTACAGGATTCCCCAATTTAACAACATTAGGTTCAGGGAATACGGGTACAGCGGTACAGCTACAACCCTAATTATCGAGGGTCACTAGTTTCCTATTATTGATTTTGTAGTCAACGCCGGTTTTACTTTCTAAAAATTATTGGTGTATACGCTACATGGGACCGCATATTCAGTATAGATAAAGTTTGAAAGTTTAAAAGTTTGATACCTGGGGTCTCTTTAGTAAAAAGTAGTTTTGACAAGGGGGTCGCAAACTACAGTAGTTCATTTATGGTTATATTTGGAAAATAGAATAATTATTGTAAATTATTGTAAGTAAATTTTATTTCTTTAATTATATATATTATTCAGATATAGTCATTAATTAAAACTCAAAATTGATTAATTAATTATTTATATCAGACCAAATTTTTATTATATTTCCTGTTGATATACTGTACTTGTGTTTTTTCGGGTTTTTTAAATGATTATGTGAATAACAAGAGTTGATGCGAATAATACCGTTGATAAATTTAATTGTTTGCAAAAGAGTTCACCGATACTAGATTCTATTCTGGAAAATCTTTATCTATTAATGGTTAAGGTAGAAAATAAGCAAGAATGGATGATATTATTCAACTAATAACAAGCTAGTGCGATATACAAACGAATCATCAATCATCCTCAACCCACAACAAATTCTACAATGCGCAATAGGTAGCATGTGCATCATCGGCATTAATAAAAGTAATTTATTCAATACAAGAATTTTTTAAAAAGTTATTCGATCGTTGATCGATGATGGCCGCTTACATAAACAGGTTCATAAGGTGATGAGTGATAGGAATCGTAAATAGAATTTAATAAATAATTGTTGAATAAAAGTGGAAAAGCAGGATGAATGAGAGGAGGAGGGTAATATTAATGCGAATGGCGAGGTGTCAAGCAGAAACTTGCGTCCCGTCATGAAAGAAGATAATGAAAATAAATAAAATAGTGTTTTTTTTTTGTTATTATAGAATTCGAAAGATAATATTTATAACCTTTTTTTTTTTTTTAATGGTTGTAAAGTATTAAGTTTATCTTCTAGCTGTTTGATTCGTTAGTAGGAGGTCTCTCAATGGGCAAACCTGTCAACCTATTAATCAATTTTAATGATCCTTTACGAACGCCCGTACCATTAATGTTTCTATTTTCATTAGATGAAGATGATCCCACTCGATAATCTTCTGGTTCAGTCACAAATGTTAACAATTTCTTGCTGCGGTTATTATTATCTTTGCTCACACCTAGATCGTCATTAAGGTTAATATTTTCATCATCCACCTCTTTTGATTTATTATGTACATTCATAGAATTGGCGAGCCTATCAAAAAATCTGCTCACTCTCTCCGAAAAGTCAGGTAAAACATTTGCAAATGGATTAATTTCCTCGTCACCTACATCACCTACAGTTGGACTATAATATTCTTCATAATCGTCGGATCGTAGTATGCTAACGGAAAATGGGGAATAATCTTCTTCTATCTTTCGCTGGTTGTCGCGTATTATGCTCCTTCTTGAATGGTATCGGTCGAGAAGGATGTTAGGGGATCGTTGATCGTAATTTGATCTTTGGAATTGGTGGGCGGCCTAAAGTCAGTATTTCATTTTATTATTATTGCTTTGTGTTTTTATCAATTTATCATCGTTATTTTCCATTCTCATTGAGGTCATTACGATTTCACGTTTGAAAATATTTTTTTCATGGTGACGACTCATTCTCTTAATTTTGCATAAAAACATCTCCCAAGGAATTAAAGTTGCTTACATGTCTTCGAAGTCGTTTACGTCATCATAATCTTCAAGATTTACGTCTTTGGAAAGAAATCGTTCGTGCGGATTACGGGGCTTGTTTAAAGATGAAATTGGTGGTTCCGAATCGTGTTCGGGTGTAGTCTTATTGCTTGCGGTCGTTGAGAAATCCTCGTCCACGTTCATCGAGTAGGCAGTATTGGATGATGAATCTGCTTCGTCGTCGCCTTCAATGGTGAAGAAAACATTTTTGTTGTTGGTAGCCAACTGCTCCGGCGATATCAAACCTTTTGCAAGAGCGCTCTGCGTAGCGGCTTGACGTTTTCGCTCAATCTCTTCCTCTTCTTGACGTCGGGCATCTTCCTCCTCTTCAATCAATTGGGCATCGGTAACCTCATTAAATCTACCCTGGAACAGGTGAATTAATGTGCAAAGAAAAAAAGTTATAGAAGAAGTAACGAACGAACGATAATACATTTCATACACCAATGATACAAACCCTCGTTGACTATAAAAATGAAATAAAAAAAATAGAGTTGGTAAGCATGATAATAAATTTCACGCGATGCAACAGACAGATCGTATTTAGACCAATAACCGGTGGGAGTGAACATCGATCTGGTCCATCACATTCTAACATTCCCTCAACTAGTATAGGATGGATTTCGGGGTTTCTTACCTGCTCGCTTATCAGCTCTGTAAATTTACTAATTTGCCCGTCCGGTAATAATTGGGCGTCTTGCAAATTTTCATCGTCTTCCAATAACAAACGGTTTGCAGCTGTGGCTTCCTCATTAGGCAGCGTCATATGCTGACCAAAGTAGTTTGGTGAGTTGGTCGCCCGAGGAAATGGGTTACGTGACAAGAGGGCTGAAAGAGAAGTGCTATCTTGATAAGGAAGCAAGCGTTCGAATTCCAAGTTATCATCGTCCTCATAGAAATTTTCGAGTGGCGTTTGTGATTCGCCGCGGAAGCGAACGCAGCAAGGGCACTTGTAAAAACAAGACCACATTCTTTATTAAAAATAAAAATAAAAAAGGAAATTTGAAACTCTAACACCAGCGAAGAAATAAGTTACATAAGTTTGAGAAGGTTACAAAGGTTTAAATAATGTATGGCATCCAAAAAAAAACGTGCGAGGTTTAATTGTCACGCACCCAGTAAACATTGCTAACAGCCAAGCAGTTAACCACATGAGATGGATTTGATGATTAATGATCGTGTTACGTGTGACAGTAAAATTCTATTTTACCGAATACGTAATGTCACATTTATGGTATTCTCATCTCAATAAAATAATCTTAATCTAATTCCTATTAAAATGGCGCACATTTTATCAGCCCCCTCACAATAATGGCGACGTTTGCGTGACATTGGGGGTTCTTGTGTAATGGTACATCTCACTTTTAGATGGTTAGATGCTTGGAACCCGGTGGAATATTTGCAAGATACCGGGATACTGCGTGTGTGCATGCGAACAGTACGTACGTACGCACGCATGGTGCGTGATAATCGCCCGTTCCCTCACCGAAACTTACCCACTTTGTGAATTTACAACAAAAAGTCTGGAGTGAGTGTGCGAAAGTTGATCGTGTTTATCTTTTGGTCTTATATTACAATTACACGTGACATTGACATGATCACGAGGTCATCCTTAGAAGTCCCGTTTAAGCTGAGGCACGACCTCCTCCAAATGAGAAACTCTCAATTGGGGAGTATTAGATCGAGTTCCTTCTTTTGACACGATCGCGGCGCGATTTATTGCTTCTGTAAATACAGTGTAATTCGTTCGTTCATATTATTATGTGGTATATATGATGGTATCAATTTGATATCGTACCGGCCGTGAACAATCGCAGGTATTCAGCCGACAGTAGTAGCGCATCTTTTCCGGCTGTGAGCAAAGGTGTTGAGTTATTGGTCGTTATGCATGACCGGAGAGATGGTTGATTCTTACCTCGGGTTTTTCGACTTTTCCACACCTTCTCAAAAGCCGCGCGTAATACTTTCTGGATTAAGAAAAGATTGCATATAAAAGGTGAAGGAAGGAAGAAGAGCTGGACGGAACGTGACACTTACTATGTCAAAAGAAGTTGGTGTTTCCGAGTTCATTGCGAGAAAAATAAAAAAGATCGGTTTTTGAAAATCCAGATGAAACGTGTGTGGTGTTGTGATACATATGTATGCACCTTGTACATACATGGAATTGACAATTTCCTTTTTCTCTCGGTGTTCCCAAAAAAGGTAGTGCGGTATGTACGTGCCTACGCACAAAACCGCATGTATTTACAGATGCTCCTCGAGATACTGTACATACCATCAGTTTCATCCTCTTTTTCCTTCCCCAAATCGGTTTCTTTTCGGACAACGGTCAATATCCCATTATCACAATTGAACATGTGTCGTCAAGAAATCCTTTAAACACGCCAGCAGTAACTGATTACCTTGTAACTGGTTTCGTTATTCTTTCATGTGACGACTTTTAAATCATATATTTTTCTCAAAAAAAAATCTATTCTTTAAATGTTACTTAAGAATGCATGACGAAATATTGGATTCAACGTCGTCTGCATCACCGAGTTTTTTTAGCTACCAATCGATCCCAACTCAAAGTGGTCACCAATACAAGAGCCAAAGAGCAACAACGAATGGATCTCTCGCTCCGCCATCATTCTTTAGCTCCATTCCTCAGGCTGACCTGGAAGATGTTGGTACAAGGGTGGAGCCGACAAACCCTGACATCAAGAACATCATGATCACCGGTGGTGCAGGTTTCACGTAAGTGTCGTCTCCTCCCGAGAAAATTTGGTGATTTATGGCGGCATAACACACCGTATATTCTCCTATCACAAACATGAACCTATTATATAGCGGCAGCTTTTTGGCCAGAAAGCTTGTTGTTCTGTATCCGGAATATAATGTCATGGTGGTAGATAAGTTGGATTATTGTGGCAGCCTGAACAACTTGAAGGTTTTAAAAGACCTTCCGAACTACACTTTTATAAAGGTATATTGTAAATCTTAAAGAGTTATCATTCACATTTATTATTTGTTTATTTGCCTATTTGTTGTTTATTATTAACTTGCATACGCCAATGATTAAAAGGGTGATATCACCTCGTCCGACTTCGTGTTACCTATCCTGCGAGAAAACAAGATCGACACAATCTTTCACCTTGCGGCCCAAACACACGTAGATAATTCCTTTGGAGATTCACTCGAATTTACCAAGAATAACGTCATGGGCACGCATGTCATGCTGGAAGCCGCAAGGTCACACGGGGTGAAAAGATTTATCTATGCCAGTTCGGATGAAGTTTACGGTGAAGTTGCAAGGACCAGCGTGAGTATTAAACCCCCTGGTCTTCATTTCTCGCCATGGCATCATATTGACGATCGCTTGATTCACACGACAGCCAGATTGTCATGAGGAATCAATATTAGCTCCGTCAAATCCTTATTCGGCGACAAAGGCTGCTGCGGAATGTCTGGTGAAGGCGTACCACAAGTCGTTTGGGCTGCCGGCGATCATCACAAGAAGTAATAACATCTATGGTCCTTACCAATATCCCGAGAAGATATGCTCGAAATTTATTTGCAGTCTTATTCGCCAGGGGAAGTGGTAAGCTGGATTTCGGATCCGCGTACAAATGCCATCTTATTAACCACATCACACTCTGTAGTTACATTCACGGTGACGGATCCAACTCTCGCAATTATCTATATGCAGGCGATGTCGCCGACGCGTTGGACATCATCATGCACGTGGGGAAAATCGGCGAGACTTACAATATCGGTTCAACCTTCGAGATTTCCAATCTCGATCTCGCGAGAGAATTAATAAGGCAATTTGGATACAACGAGGATGATCATATTGAATTTGTGCAAGATCGTGCGTTCAACGATAAGCGGTATGCCGTGGATTATCGTAAACTGAAGGAACTAGGGTGGAAACCGCGTATGGGATGGGATGAAGGTTTACTAAAAACAAGTGAGTTCAAGGTCGAATGATGTTTCGTGATTTTTCATCATTGCTGACATCTGTTCATCATCTGTTAAAAAAGTTGCATGGTATAAAGAAAACTGTGATATATGGTGGGGTGATATATCTTATGCTCTGATGCCGCATCCACTGAAGGGACCACCGTCGGCCAACTTTTCCCCACCGTGAGAACTGACCATTTGGATTTTTGTTTATTTTTTTGTAGGAACTTGTGATAGATAATTTAATGCTTGTCATTCTTTGTGTGTTCGAATAAATGAATAAAGATTTCCTGTGTTTATCATCACGTGAATTTACATATGTGCGTATGACGACGTCGTGTAACCTTGATTTTGTTTATTAATGGTCGGAAATTTTTTTCAAATCATTCGGACGATGTCGAATTTTATTCCCGCCAGCTACAACTTACCACCACCGCCTCCAACCTCTTCGCGATCCTCCAAGTCTCAGGGGAGAGGAAGAGGACGTGGTCGCGGAAAGTTTCAGTACGGACATGCAAACCGAGAGACTTCCGTTCAACAAACGTGCCTCAATAACTCTGGTGACGGTAATCAAACGGGTCTTTACGCGTCCAAACCGTTTACGACTTCAAACCAACCGGTTACAGGCCATCAAAATGGAAATTCGATGCATTTTGCACCCGCACCACAGTTCTTCCCTAATTACAATGTCTCTCCAAACACGTCAGTTCCATTTGCGCCACAACCCGACACGACCTCGTTGACGCGTAAACCTGCAATCTCGCGTCAATTTCCTCAAACGTCAATTTCTTCCAACCAATCGCAGAATTTTCCCGTAAAACATAATCCAGATAACGAAAAAGCCGCTCAGGCTGCACTTGCTGCAACGTCAACTCTTCTTTATAAAAATAATCCGCACGTGCCTGATAAAGATGATCCTGACGCTCCTGTTAATCTGAGGTGAATTTTGATATACTCATTATGTTCACTATTTTTTTTTAAGGACAAAAAAGCTAACATTGAATATTCACTAGATGTGAAAATTGCAAAGTGACATTCGATTCGAAGTTTAGATATGATTTACATGTGCGGTATCATAGAAAATGTACACTATGTGATTTTAAAGCCACATTGCAAAATATCAGAGAACATCAATTCGATGCGCACGGAATCGGACGTATTTTCAAAGATAACAATGAATCGTGAGTACAGATGCTTATGTGTGTCAATATACAGTACGCGGAACGCCTAAATTTCTTTATTTGTTAATACATCCAGGACTCTTAAACCCAAAATGAACTTTAATCTTGATACGCCTGAAGCCATTGCGAAGTGGATTGAGGATAGAAAGAAAAGGTATCCATCCGATGCGAATATTGCTAAAAAGGTATTTCATGCTTCTTTCTTACCTTCGTATCGCTTGAACCAAAGCCTGTGCAGCGTTAATTCGATTATTCAAAATAGAAAGCTGAGGCCGAACGCATTAGAGCTATCAAGGCCGAAAAGAGGAAGATGGATGACTGGGGGAAAAATGATTATGCAAACAAGAGAATTCATGCAACAAAAAATCAGGATGATCTTTTGGATTTGGAAGTCGCTGCCTCCGCTGCTGGTGTCGATTATAAATTTGATGTTAAGAATCCTTTGGTTTCTCGTTCCGAGAAAAGGATCGAGCGGTTGTACGACAAAGTATGTGTCAAGTATTTGCCAGGTCACTGTCCGAGAGGAAAAGATTGTGGAAATCGACATGAAGGGTCTATGGTATTTATTATCTTTTCTCTTTATCCGTCGCTAAGAATGTGGTTTAAAAAAAATATTTTTTGTGGTTATTATAGATTTGTCCACCACTTCAACGTGCGCCTGATGCACAAAGAGTTCGCTCGAGAAATCTTCGTGATATGGTAAGATATCTCTCATTTGACCTTTGCCTCACTGACATTCGTTAACATGCATCCAAAAATCAATTTCATAGTTGCTACTAAATGAGAAGACTAAAGAAAAGAATGTGATTCTAAAAAGTTTTGAACATATTATGAACAAGAATTTTTTCGATGTCATCACGAAGGCGGCGTTACAAGAAGCAAAGAAAAGAGGCGGTTCGGCTATTACAGAAGTTGGTAGGGCGGAGATGAAGCGACGCAATAAAAAATCGTCTTCAAAAAAATAGGATTCTTTATTACAATAATGATGTCAGACATAATATCTCGGTTACACAACACAATATGTGAAGATTATTAGGAAGTCTCTTATACAGAAAAAAATTTTTCCAAAATTTCTCAACCACTGTTTCTTTGGATGCAAAACTTGAAATAATTTGTTTTTGCATATGAAAATGAAACCATTATAAAATTTTATTTAGCTTTGCCTTTGCCGTTAAAAATCACGCAATCTTTTGTCTGCATTAATGCTTCAACCATTTATTGTTTGCTTTGAAATTAAAAATGAATTAAATGAAATGCAAAATAAGGTAATAAACAACTTATTAAAAATATTGAAATCTTGTATTAATTTTTTATTTACCATCTTTGAACGATATTTTTTTTTATTGGGTGAAATTGAGTTTGCTTCAATTATTATTAGATGTGCTTTTTTCTTAATTAGTTTTTGAAAATTTTATTGTCAGTTTATGAAAAAAAATGATTAGAGTTTCTAATAATCTAAATCAGCTTGATATTAATTTGATATCAGTTCAATACTTTTTTTTTTCCCATAATGCTAATGAGGCCTTGCCATTTAGTTTATTATACTTATCAAGTTAATACAATGTTTGTCTTACAAATTTAATTGTAACTCATGTACATTTTTAGAAAATGATAGCTAAATGGCTCAGTATTATTTTTCATAAACCCTGTGACCTTCTGTGTTTCCAAAAGGATACTAGTGTATCAAGACTCCACTAGCACTATTAATTTAGTAAAATTATTGCTTTATTGTTTGAAGGAAATTAAGAGAAAATGAAGGAAACAAATTGGGATAATATTCTGTTTTATAGCAAATAAAGCAACTACAGACCACTTGCTTCCATTGGAACTCTCCTCCTTTACCATCACCTGTAGCTGTACTAACCATTTAATTTCTTATCAGCCTAAATGTTGCCTAAGAATATTCAAGATAGACTTATAACTGGTTCTTATTGCCTAAATTGTAACTTATCTTATGCGCAAAGTAGGTCTTATGCCAGATGCTTTTTTGGAATAAACATCACCAGACTGGTTTATTATTGGATTTGGATAAAACCTGGATAGAAATCTGTAGGAAAGATGTCAGATATTAGAGAAATGATTACTAAACCTACTTGTCGAACACAGATACCTTATACACCTTGCAACTTCTAGTGATCATTGTAGCATCAATTAAATAATTGTCACGTCACGATATCTTTTCTGGAAATCACAATATCAATGCTCACTAAATCAGCGTGTAAAATGGTTTCTTATGAGAAACAGTGCTTTTACAAATTATAGTACCAGATATTATATTAATTCTATTTATATTAGTTCAATACTTAATTTTATTATAAATTATATAAATTATAATCCATATATAATTAATATTACTTTAATACCAATTTCATAATATTTTTTAAAAAAATAAAAAAAAATATCTTATATTTTTTAAAATTATATTTTCAATTATTACTTGAAATTAAAAACCAATTATATTATTAGACTTTTATATTTTTGTTATTAAAGAATTAATAATTTAAATTCTTAATCAATTATTATTTGAGAATTTCAATATATTTAAAAATCCAAAATTAAATTAATATATATGTAAATAAAATTTTTTAAAAAATTATAAAGAAAAAATTATATATTGATATTTATAAATATCTAGTATAGTAAATAATATATTTAAATTATCAAATATATGTATCTAATTTAATATTTATAAAAAAACAAATATAAAAAATCTATTCTTTACATATAAATTAATTGGTTTTTTATATATTTTATATTCAATTAATCAGATTCTAACTAAATTAATTAAGCCATTTAAAAATAAAATTTGTGATTTTTTTAATAATTATAAGATTAAACAAATTAAAAAAAAGTTAAAAGAAAAGATTATTTATAAAAATATTATAGTTTAAACTAATATAACAAACCTTATAATAAAAAAAATATTCTGGCTTAAAGCTATTTTAATTTAATACTTGTTTAAAAGAAAATTATATAATATATTATATAATTTAAAATTGCAAATAGTAAAGTTTCTAATAATATTATTTTAATATTGGTTTAATACTTTTTTAATATTTTAGCAAATAATAACAAAAAACATATTATGTTTTTTTTAAATTTTCAAATAAAAAATATTAAAACAAAATTTTAATTATTTTAATTATTTTTATAAGATACATATTTTAAATAACAAAATTTAAATTTAAATTAAATAACTAATTTAAAACTAATAATAAAATTTTTATTTTCTAAAAATCTTATTTAATATAAAATTAATATAATTAGATAAGATTATAAATAAAAAAAAATAAGTTAATTTAAATAGATTAAAAATATGAATAATTATTTTCAAAGGCAGACTGGAAATTTTCTGATAGGATCCTGAAATTTATACTATATATGTATTGTCTAAAAGTTAGATCCAAAAAAATCTTATCTAGCATTTTTGATGCCTTCAATAATAATTACCCATATTAAATATTGAATATAAATTATTTAATAAAATTAAATATTTAAATAAAAAATGTAGAAGTTAATAATATATTAGATAGTGTTCCCAGATCTTCAAACATATATTCCATATTTAATATTTATAAGAAACAAAAAATATATTTGTCTTTATATATAAATTTATTGAATATCTTATATATATTGTATTTAATAATTCTTAATTAAATTCAAATTCAATTAGATTATATAAAAATGGAACCTCTAATCTTCCTAAAAATTATAAGCTAAAAACAAATCAAAACACAAAAGGTTGTACACAAAAAGCTTCTGATCTAACTCTAATAAAAAGTTTACAAACTCCAACCAAACTGGCAACAACAGATTTCATTACATAATTCAAAAAGATTATTATTAAATTAATATATCTTAATTTGAAGCTTAAAAATCTATTTCAAAAGTGATATTTTTTTGAATTTAAATAAATTGAAAAAGCAAAAGTTATCAGTCACAAATTATAACAATCTAAATAAAAATCATTAAGATTAAGTGAGTCTAGTAAAAATTTTCAAGATTAAATTAAAATTTAAACAAGAATTTCAATTCTACAAATAGTAAAAATGGTAATATAATATTATGTTAATAACTATGGTTCCGAAAATTAGAATCAAATAGAATCGAACAGAATCATATGAGGTTCAAAACACTATTAAAAATGATGGTGGGGTATATCCCACCTATTAAATTTAATATAAACTTGAGAATCGAATACAGAATAAAAGAGAATCGTTAGGATCCTTACTAATAACATATTTTGAGAATTAATGATGGACTTTGTTATTAGATAATAAGTTAATTGTTTATGTAATTTCATATTCAATAATAAGACTTATTACTATGTCATATATTAAAGTATTAATATATTTAAGTAGTATATAATGTTTTGTTTATTTGGTTAAAAGCTCATTGTTGATATTTCATTTGAAAAATATATTTTTGTAATAGTTTATTATTATTTGATAAATTAGTAATAAATTAATTATTATTTTCTTATTAATTAGATCAAAAATTTTTGTGAAGAATGTATAGGAATTCTTGTAATTAAGTTTTGTTTGATTATAATTTTTGATTTGTCTTAAAAATTTGTTATTCGTTGATTAATAATTTTGTCAATGGTTTCTTTTTTTTAAAGTTTATTTTCAATTTTTAATAATTTGTAAATAATTTTGAATAGTTTTTTTAATAATATAATTTAATTATTATTGTTATAATATAGAAATTTAAGTTTTTTAAGTTATACAGAATTGAAGATTAAGTAAAAATAGTGTTTGTATAGATAGGTTGGAAATATGAAATTTAATAGATTAAAGTTTTTTGTAAAGTAGCATGTTTTTTTTATTAAAGATTGTAAAGTGTTTTTCTAAGTTTTTGTTTTAGATATAAATTCATTAAGTGTTTTGATAATGTTTATATTAAAGAATTTCTAAAACTCTTGAATATTTATATTCTTTGGAATATGTTTTATAAAATTATTGAGAATTGTATTTATTATTTTTCAGGTTTGAGTTGTTACTTTATCAAAGTTGAAATGGATAATAAGTATTCTCTTAAAGTATTTTGCAATTAAGAAGTTAAAAAAAGTAAGTATTATAATTTTGTAATTATTATAGAATTCTAATTTTATATTAATAATTTAAGTTTTGATGAAATGTGTAACAATATTGTTTGTTATTTAAATTTAATCGATATATTTTTGGTTAGTAAAACCTATATATATAAAAAAAGTTTTGTAAAAAAAAAATAAATGGAATATATTTGTAAAATTTTTGTTTAGTTTTTTATAAATAAGTAATTTATATTTTGGTTTAGATTTTTGAGTTTTATCTATTAGATTAAATGTGAAATTGAAATTATCCATAATAATATATAAAATATTTTTTGAGAGATTATTATTTATAAGATTTTGAAGATATATAATGATGTTTTTTCTTGTTTTTGAATTGTGAGGTAAATATATTTGTGTTATGCATAATTTGATTTTAGGTTTGAATTGTAAAAAGATTGAAATAATATAACCTTTATATTCTAAAGTTTATAAAAGTATTTTGTAAGGTATTTGTTTATTATTATAAAAACTTTTGCTTGATTTTAATTAAGATTGTTGAAATAAATAATAAAGTTGTTAATAATGTGTAGAATTTTTTTAATGATTTGAAGTTTAGTTTTGAAAAGACTGAAAATATTGTAGTTGTTGTTTTTAATATATTGAAAAAAACATTTTAGTTTTGTATAGTTATTGAAACCTTTTGTATTGAAGAAGCCAATCTCTAATGAATGATATTTTATATTGATGAAAGGTTTTTTTTATAAAGAATTTTTGTGAAATCTTTTTGATTACAAAGTTTTTAAGAAAGTTGTTTGTATTAAATATTATTTAAAAAGATTAAAAAATTTTGTTTTTAGTTCAAATAATTCAATTTTTGTAATATAGTCATTAGTAAGTCTTTAAAAAGCAAAGTTTTTTCTAAGCTTGAAA